GGGGAAGGGGCGGTGAGGGTGGCGCGGTGCCCTGGCTTCCTCCGCGGTCCCTGGGGGAAGGGGAGGCCTGGGCGCTGTGGGTCCCCCGGCTGCCTGCTGGGGAGAGAAGGGGGCTGGAGGAATGTCACCGCCGGGGGCCTGCTCTTCGCCGTGAGCGATCGCGCGGGTGCTGGCTCCCGTGAGGCAAGGTGAGGTGGCCCTCACCGAAGATGACCTCCTTCTGATGGAGTCCAAGCAGCGAGGGCAGGCCAGCAGGCAGGGCAGAAGGTTTCTCTCCTCGCCTCTGTGTTGTGCCCCGGTGCTGGGAGCCATGATGTGGCACAGCTGCAGAGGTGACCCCTGAGGAGCGTGGAAAACCCGCGGTGAAGAACGTGCCATGCCGTGGTGTTTTCGGGGGGCAGCAAGGTGTGAGGCCACGAGAGCTGGGGAAGGAGGATGGAAGGAGGGAAATATGGGTGGAAGAGGGAAGTAATGGGAAGGAGGAAGACTGGAAGTTTCACAGAGAGGTGGGGAAGGTGCGCTTGAGGCCAAGGCGTGATGTAGGGAGAGATACAAAAGTGATTGGTAAAGCAGGGAAAGAAGGTAGGGTGGGGTGGGTTGGTATGGATCTTGCTGCCAAGTAGCCGTGTGTTGTAACTCATCTGCTGATGGAGGAAGGAATAGGTAAGCTGTGGAGCAGATTGCTGAAAGGTGTTACGGAGTCTGTCATGAGACATTTTGAAGGAAAGATTGGACATGCGCCTGTCAGGACTTAGTGAGTCTTGGGGCTCATCTGGACCACTTCTTCTTATCCTGTTATTCTGTGATTTCATGGAATCCTGTCCTAGTAAGAACGATTTTCATCATCTGTTTGATGCTGGTGTATGTGGAATCTCCATCCTGGGAGGTTTTCAAAACTTGGCTGGAAAAGTGTTGAGTAACCTGAGATAATGTCAGAGTCAGCCCTGCTTTGAGCAGGGGTTTGGACAAGGTGACCTGTGGAGTTCCTTGCCAGCCTGAACTGTTCTGTGTTCCACAGTTTACCAAAATGTCCTAGATTTATTATGAGCAGTTATTAAAGTTTTTATTATTAACCTCCCCCCCAGCTCATTCTGGAGCTGAAGAACTTAACATGCAGGATAAGTGAACTCATTTACCTTTTCAGTCAACACTTCCTTCAATGATTAAAAATGTAACATTGAAAGCAGCTGAACAGTGCACTGAATTGAATTTGGAGGTCTTAATCTTTCTTCTGACCTGGAATGAAGACTGTTAACATCTCCTTTGCAATTACTGGAAATACCAGACTGTGCATAAACCCATGTATTTGCAGGATGTTTTGGCTTGATTCAGGCATTACTTTTTGTTCAAGTCCGATAACTTTGGGAGGGAGGGGCATTGTTTAATTTTTATAATGGCCTAATGTTTCTAAAATTATTTTTTCATGGGGATTTTTTTTTCAGTCTTTTATATTTTTACTTTTTTTTTTTTCCTGGGGAGAGCTTTAGATTCACAGCACAACAGGGTCGCTCTGTGAGCAGGGTGCTACAAAAACAAGACAGAAAGACAGTCTCTGTCCCACAGCGCTTAGCGTGTAGCAGCTTATGGGATCATTTATTTCTGCGTAAAGTGACCTGATTCTCCTCTGCCTTGTGCAGTCACTTACAGCAATGCAAAGGGATGGTAAAATGATATAACCTCACTTTTTATAAGCTGTGTGAAGTATATGAATTACGTGCAAGACAGGAGAGAATTAAGCCAAAGTTATTTCTTCATCAGTTTTCTGAAACTTGATTTCTTTCTCCCCGACAATATAGTACTTTTGCCTTGATTTGTGTCCAAGCGCTGGCTGAAAAAGGCCATGGGAAGTGTCTTAATCTTGAAGTGTTTGGCCACAAAATAGGACAGAAATTTACGTAAGCAGTCATGCTAAAACGAAGGGAAATAATACTTACATGAAAGTAGAAATTTTTTTCCTGTGTTACCAGAAGCCAACATAATGGTGCTATTAATGAGGCCTCCTAAATGTTTGCTTAGTATTTGGATTACTGGTTTATTTCAGCAGCATTAGCTGGTATTCCAGAATTTCTCGAAACAGCAACAATGAAAACATACACATGCTTCTATTTTGTTGCAGTGAGATAAAATGGTGTTCTTGAGTATAAAAGTTTCCGAGGAGTACTTCCAAGCTGCTTGAATCATTTTTTGTTTTTATTATTGTTGAACAATGTGCTAATAACTGAGGCCAAGACTTTCAGAAAATTGTTTCCCAGAGCTGTTCTACCTCAACCCATATTTAAATATCTGAAAAACTGAACCTGCAAAAATTCAGTAAGGTTTAGGAATGTAGCTTTTCCAGCATGCAGAAACGTGTGATTTGTAGCCTACTTCAGGCAGTTTCTTTGTAAACTTTAGTCTTGGCTGGAGATTTGTCTTGATAAACATGTGTCAAGTTTTATCATTTTTGCCTTCGCTAGGTTTATTTTTTAACCATCTTCATATCCTGTGCATTTTCTGTGCTGTTGTAACACAAAATGAGGAAGATGAGCACTGTATAGGTAGAAGATAGTTTGTTGACATTAGTTTTGCTTGTTTTAATGCATCATTGAAGATAAAACATTTAAAAGCAGATATTTTTGAAAAGCAATATGTTTTCAATTACTGAAATAATAGCTTGGTGTGGGAAACTCTCAAAATCATGCCACTGACCTTGCAGGGAGGTTAGCGCAAAGGTCCTTTATGAGCTAGGGTACTTGATATCCATTTCATTGACCTGGCCTTCTCTCTGTTCTGTTTTTTTACGTTCTTTTTACTTGATAACAGTACTTTGTATCACATATCTCCTTACGTGCTGAGGTCTCAAGCTAGTTTCCCAAATGCATTGACTGCCAGTGTTTCTGAGGTAGGAAGCACTGTAGCAGCTTAGCACGTTAGCAGCCTGACGTGTTGAGAGTTTGAGTTACTCAAAGTATGGAAGTACTCCCATGCAGTGTCTAGAACAGAACCCAAGGACTGACTCCGAAGTCATGTACTTTAACTGCTGAGTGACGCTGATTTCTGGCTTAGATATTTCTCAGTAGAGATGAAATTATAGTTAATCTTAGGCCAGGTTTTTTGAAGGATGCTGATTTTGAGTTTTTCAGGACAGATGTAAAGTCCGGGCAGAGAGTTTTGCAGAGGAGGATAAATGCCTTCGGGAAGTACATATGCCTTCTGTTAAAATAGTGGTGCAACTAAAACTATCTTAAATCTTTGAAATAAATTCCCCAGATTTGAACCTGGGTACTTCAGGTATGTTAGAGATTCCCGTAATACGAAGACAGGTAAAGCACTTGTTCTGTTACATGACTGACCTGATTATGAAAGTACTGGCGTTTATGTGTGCCCCTCATGTAAGCAGATGAAACTAATTAATGTCATATAAATTAGCTGTACAGATGGAAAGACATTGCCAGTTAGCATCAAATAGATTGGATTTGCCAAAGTTAAGACTAAGGATGGAGCACGACAACATTAGTTAAAGGGACAGGCTTCGCTCTGTCATTGTTGTCTTGATCTAGCTAATTCTGGAGCTCGGCATTATTTGAGATATCTTTGTTTCCCATGTGTCAGGAGCTGTGTCAGTAACGTAGTTCTTTGTTCCTGATGGTTCCACCAAAACAAACCAAGGGAGTTCATGTCTTTAAGATAACACAAGTCATTATGCTCTTTTTTCCCCCCATTTGCTGACAAGGATGAGCTAGCAGAATGGAGAAAGTACAGGGTATCGCTGAGTGGGTGTGTACTCCTCTGCTTGTTGCTGTAGATGAACACTCAGTTGTTTGGTCCCATTACATCAGCTGGCTTTGGCAGTGGCTGTTTAAGAGTTGCTCAAGACAGTTGAGAGTGAATAATACTCTGTAAATTATCGCGTGGCAAGGGGTGCTTTTAATGCAGTCTGACATTAGAGAAGTAAAGTGAGCAAGCAGTGGTGTTTGACCTAGAGTCCTTAACGTGGTTTGGATTACTGTAGTCAGCAGGCAGATATTCAGGATTTTTTACATTCCTGATTATGTTGGAAGGAATGTCTATTAGAGCAAGAGACTGGGAGTGAGGATTTGGCCACAGCATTTTATCACTTCGCTTCCTTATGCCTCAGTTTACCTATCCATAATAGAAGGACTAATTTCTATGTGTTTTGAGATTCTGCACAGAATCATGCAAAGTTAAAGGCTTATTTTTTCTGATTGATTATATTTTTTGCTGCTACCTATCTACGGTTGTTTATGATTCTTTTTAATATTTTCACTCGGGACTAAAATAATTTGCTTTTTTTCTTTTGTTGAAGACTCGGTCTTTGCTCAGTGTATTTGAAGAAGATGCAGGAACCCTTACTGAATATACAAACCAGTTGCTTCAGGCAATGCAACGAGTCTATGGTGCTCAGGTAATTTTTAATTTGTGTTTCTTTTGTTCAATGTGCAGTAGAAGATGAATTGCTATTGTCATGCTTTTACTTACGTGAAAGTTGCCAAGCACCTGCACCTCTTGTGGTTTGAGAGGATTTGTGGGTGTTTTCCATCTGATATCTCAGCCCCTTCCCACCCTGATGTTCAGAAACTTCATATGTGTGAAAAAAATTCTTATCTGCTTTGTCTGTCTCCAAACATTAATAAAAGAAAAATTGTGATATGTCCTTACTTTATGGTACATTGGAAGGCCAGCCTTGACAGAATTGCTTGTCTAAACATCAACCTAATACACAGGTAGGTATTCATACTGACTTTAGGCATCTAACTTAGATGCTGTGAGTCACCATTTGGAAGGGACTGTCTATGTCCATTGATTACAGAGAGAATGTACACTTTGAGTCACATTGAAGTTGAGTGCCTAGTCAGTGTGAAAAATATGGGGGCAGAATTGGAAAAAAAATAGCGCTTTCCAAAGCACTTACATGACCTAGATGACTAAATCCCTTTGAAAGTAAAATTGTAAGGTAAGTCATATCCTGTGCTTTGGAAAATATTATAAATCTGGGTGATTTTCAGTGAAGCTAGGATTCCCATGTGCATAAAATGAGGTATTTCAAAATACCCTATCTAGGTCTTTAAAGACATACACAGTATCTCATGGAACGTTTGCAAGTATTTATGTAGGTTAGATACCTGAGTTTAGTAGAAACAACAGGTTCCCTGTTCGTAAACCAGTAAATTAGAGGACACAGAGAGATACGGAGAATAGGGGTGTTTTGAATTTACTGAAAGACTGAGTGCCCAATGCTTAATATTATCAGGAATCAGCTCGGCTATAAAACTGCTGCACGTGTATGTCCATTTGATAGGATTGCTGTTTTGGGTGACTGATAGTATAACTTGGAAGAAAGAGCTGTCTGCCCAGGATTTAGCTACCTACACCTGGAAGATCCAGCTTTGGAGAGCTTCGAAGTCTTCCTGTCCTGGATCCCATGCAAATGTAGAGCAATTAGAGCGTTACAGCACACCTCAGATACTTAGAAAACAATACAGCACAGGCTGGAGAGGTGACATAAAATCAGCACGGAAAGTCAGTGATGGGCATTTTGGTAGAGTCACTGAGCTATAGAGCAGCAAGAGTATGGGCACGTTGGATGGTAGAAATCTGAGACCAAAGAGCAGGCAGAATTGAAATAGGGGACAGAAGGAAATCCGAGGATAAATATGGTTTGATTGTTAAGTGTCCAGCTTGTGGACTACATGTCCCTTGGCCTGGCTGATGCCTTGTTAGGGTGGCATTTTAGGAAGTGGTTACTCTGGCCTGTGATTCGTGGAGAAAATGCTGTGTCTGCTTCTGTTTGCTGCTTCCTTTCCATCTCAGTTTTTAGCCTTCTCCATTTCTGTTGCCCCTTAGTTATGACATTTCCTCTTTCTTCTCACTGTCTCAGCGCATTTACCCATCTGTGCTTTGCAGTACTACTGAGTCTGCTTTGTTTTTCCAGCATTTCTTGGCCACTTGCTTCCTGCACACTTTCTGCTTTAGTTTGGTCTAAATATTCAGTCACTTGTGAATATTGGATGTGTTCCTTGAAACACCTCATCAGATGTTTGATGCCATTTTGAGATGGGAGGTGCATAGCAGTTGTTTGAAGTCAGGCTTTGTAGGGATGTAGAGGAGGGCACCCTACACTACCATTGACTTAGGAAAATTTGGGTTTAGTGGCCAGTGTTGGGGACTTTACCAAGGACATTGGCTCGACATGTAGTGTTCTTAGTGTTGCTGCTTCTGCCATTTAATACTTTGGGAATCGCTGTATGTTGTGACTCCAGTTTGGGTTTGTGTTCTCGGGATCCAGTAGTGGCAAAAAAGTGACATTGCAGTAACAAAGTCTAAGTAGATCATATTAATTATATAAGTGGAAAAAAACCCACAAACTTTTTGTGTTTTTTATTCTGTATGCACGTTAAAAAGTCTTGGTATTTTTGCATGAGACCTAAAGGAACACAGTAAAATTGGGGCAAAATTCTGTTTTTTAAATAAAAATTAATGGAAATAATTAATTCAGCCATATACAGAGATTAATTGGCAAGAGAATGTTAGTGTTTTATAGGCTAACATTGATTTCTGACTAGTTTTACTGAGCTTTGCATATATCCTTTTAAGGAACTGCTCCTTAATATTTAAATGAAGACATGCTTTCTGACTGAACTCACCCTCAGTTTTTCAGAGGCTTACCCATTATTGGAAAATGTTATGATTGCAGTTGCCATAGAAAGAGAAGTGTAATGCTGAATTGCCCGCTAAACATGAATGAACAGTTAAGAAAAATCTATGTGTAGTATTTCTTTGCTGCATAATCACAACTTGAGAGAATATCAACTTTTGCTGATGCATTGTTTGGAGGCACATTGTCTGGGCCTCGCTAGTGGTGTATTGGGAAGTGCTATCAACTCTTTTCATTTTGAGAGGGAACAAGATTTAGTAGAGTGCAAAAATGGGAGTGGTGAGAAGCCAGTTTCTGAATTTGCCTTTTTATTTTCCTAGCTTAAATTTTGTCTTTGCAAAGTCATTGTCGTCCCTTGCTCCGATTTCCTGATCTGTAAAACAGCAATTACAGTTACCGACCTACTTTGAAGCAGTGACACAATTTCTGTTTGCACAGCCATAAAGTTGGCTGGCATCGCAGTCATGGCAGTCAAACAAAACAGCAGTGGATTGTACTAGTCCACGGTATTGAAAAACCAGGGTTTAAGCCCCCTCAAAACAGTTAGGACAGTTTTAAAAATGTAAAATTGTTTTCTTCCTAACTACATTCTGAACTTTAAGATTTCCCAGGTGTGTCTCAACCATATTTTCAAGATTTTCCAGAGAAGTTTACTAGAAGTTTGGTGTTGTTTCTTGTGATGAAAACTAAGATTTTCATGTAATTCAAACCACTGTAGCTTGTGATCAAAGAACAATAGTTGATGGTTCTGAATGGATGCAGTGCGAAGACTCAGGGGAGTAGCAATTAGAGCCAGCTGCAAGCTGTTTATTATCCATGTGGATAAATGCATATATATGTCCCAAAACACTGCTTTGTGTGCAGAGCATCAGTAAGTTTGTAAACTGACAGCTCAAGCTGCTCTGAACACTTGAATCCAGTGCATTTGAAAAGAAGGGGAGAAAGACAGAAATATTTGCTGAGGGCTTTTTGAAACACTTAGAAAAGTAGGAATCTTTTTGAACACTTGGGTGCTTTTCCTTCAAGCTGCAGATTTCTGTTAGGTGCTGGGTACCTAACTTTTCAGACTTCTGTGTATTCAAGCAGGACTTCATTGTGCATGCCTTTAACTTTTCTACGGCAGTAGGGCAGTTGTTGGGATGAAGCCCGTCCCAGTGAATGCGCCCAGTAAATGAGGTAGACAGACCTTTGAAATGACTTTAAACTGTTTTTGTCACGAGAGTGGAAGGGAGGGGTCTGCAGGATCCTGTGGCGGGGTAGAGGAGTTGCAGGGTGTTGCAGCGGACACGCTGCCTGGGCAGGTGGGGCCCCTTGGTGTGGAAGGGCCCCCGACACGAGGCTGCAGCTGGGTGATGTGTGGCCAGCAGGTTGCCTTTGGGTGCAAGGCCTTCCAGGTGTGACAAGCCCCTGGCTGCTGTGCAGGATCAGGACAGTGCTCTCACCTCTTTGGGCACCCACACAAGGTGTGGTGGGGTGGTGACTCTTATTTTACCCATGGAGTTCTTCAGTGAAAAAGAGACTGCGATGCTACAAGGCAGATGCAGCGTGTGATGTCATGATTAAGGAGAAGTCACCGGAAGCAAATGTGTGAGCCGTGCTTGCGGAGTGAGATTTGGTTGATCTGGCAAGCCCACATGTGTAAATATAGTGAAGCATTTTTATATTTCTTCGTCAAATAAGCCACATCCGTGTGAGTACGTGTTGTACTTCCTGCTGTAGTTCTCCCATCTGTGCTGTGGTACCCTGAAGTAATTATTGCATTAATGGTCTGATAGAGGAAATCTTTCTTACAGGGTATGTGCTTGTAGTTCTTCCTCCTTGCAAGCAAGCCCTGGTGATGCATCTGGCATTACTGCTGTCTGATTTCTGTGAATGTTGTGTTTATCGTTCTGGACATTTTATTACCTGAGCAGTATGTAGTGCAGCAAGCCAGGACTGTCAGAGAACTTAAGTAAATGAAGTTGTATGCTGAGGCTCTTGCAATGGTGTATGAGCAAAGTGTGCCCAGTTTACATTCCTGACTTCCCAGTGCTGTAGTAAATTATTTTCGGAGCTTTACTATCGTCTCCAGTTCTTCATCATACTATAGAAATGGCTGAGCTGTGATGGTCACTTGAAACAAAATGTCATTTAGAAACTCAGGACACTGTTGTGTTTCTACTGACTATTAGAAGGGATGAACAGTTAAGTGGGTTAGAGGAAAGTAAGATGCAGTATTTTGTCATTGGAAAGAGGTTCATCTCATTATTCCTGACAAATCTGTCTAGATACTAAGAGCAGTGGTGGCAGAAGAGGAATAAGAAGCAGCCCATTGCCTTTATCAATATAGCCAGAGAGAGAACAGCATGGGAATTGTGAAGTGTAATTCTGTTCACCATCTGTGTCTCTGAGCAATTGTCTTGTGATTCCAGAGTCTTATGGGCAAAGCAGCAACAACCTCTGAGGCTCACTGCCTTTTTATCTCCAGATTCTTACATAAACTCTTGACAATTATGGAATAGTCTTGGGTTGTATGTGCCACATTAGATGGGTATCAGTATGGCTTGTATCTGCCAGAGCTATTTTAGGTAGTGCTTTATGTCAGTGTTACCTCTCTCCCCAAATTAATGACACCTCATGTCTGCATTTTTCAACAGTGCTGCTTGTTTCATCTTCCTATGTATTGACTTCACTAGGCTGTAACTCAGTAGATAGGTGTTAAGCTCTCTAGGGCATGCACAGATTTTCATATTTATTATGTTGCATAGCTA